CTTGTGCAAAGGAAGCATCTGAGTTAAATTTCACGGCATCTTATAATACACCAGGACATAAACCAGAAAAATACATGCGGGATTAAATTTCCATAAAGCCCAACCGATCCGGCGTATGAAATAGGAGAAGGAATTTAATCTACTCCTATAACATGCTCAGGGCTCATGACTTCCACCATATCTCCAGCACTGCTGCTGCAGCCACCGGGCCGGAATAGCAGCCGGCTGCCTGTGGCTGCAGCAACCTGGGCTGCAGCCATGGGGTGGGCAGTGGGGCTGTGGATATCCACCCCAAGAGCAGCTTTCTCCTCCCACGCTGTGCTGCCAGGCGTTCTGGGTCTCAAGAACCTGTGGAAGACCACACTGATTTCTTCTGTTCCCTTTTACCTGCAAACTGATGGGAAGCTCTACTTGTCAGCTGCCTCTGCAGTACATACAGCCTGCAGCCTCCTCACTGAGCAAACACTTCAAGTAAGAATGAAGTTGCTTTTAATGAGAAATGAATTGATCTCTTACCTTCAAAGAAGCCAATCTCATAATGCAGCGATTTTATTTCCTCCCCATTTAGAGATGAGAAAGAAAAGGAAGTTTTTTTCCATTCATAATTTTTAAGTCAGGAACTATTCCTATGACACTGTGACATGTTTTTGTAGTCTAACCCAAAGTATAACTGTGCATGTGCATCAGACCTTTGTTGTAACCTTTTGGGTCCTCTTGCCTTTTTCTTGTCTCATGACGTTGTCAGGAGGAGCTCACCTAAACAATGCAATTCAAGCTCCTCAATTTTCCTTTTCCTTTTAAATGTAGTGTTCTTTAGATTGACATTTTGATAGTTCTAAATAGAGAAGTAGCCATAATTTTGCTTTATATCCAGTCTGAAATGTGTCCTAATTGTCAATTACAAAAAGTTTCCTGCTCTTGAATATTACTACCCAAGCACAAAAGCAAGCGCATGACTCCGCACTGACCTTCATCTGTTCCCAAATTGTGTCTTTTAAAAGCCTTGAATCCGCTTAAGGGGAGCTGCTGAAACCTGAAACGAACTAAGTCTATTGCTTTATAGAGTAGATGAATGTAAAACTGAAGTATTACATTTCAGGCTCTTACTGTACTAAATATAGCAGAATTAGGATGCGGGGGAATATAACCAGAGAGTGAGTCTGGTTTTAGAGACAAGATTTTTGTTACAGACATCGATGACTATTTTGTAATACTTGGTCTATTCCTGTTCCTGACAGAATATCACTGTAAATGGGCAGAAGTAAAATGTCCTCCCAGTCAAGAGATTTGTTTTGAACACCAGTGATCTTAAAAAACAACAACAAAACTCTCCCCCTAAAGACCACCACACCAGCTGCTGAGTACTTTTGAAAGACCCAAGTGTAAGAAGCACCCTGCATTTAGATTTTCATCTCTTGTGCTCTGTGTGATTCTCTTAAAGGTGCATTTAAAAATGTGGAAATAAATCAGTTGACTATTCAGAGGAAAAGTACCAGTCCATATGTATGTGCCAAAGAAACATGAACTGAAATGCAAGTCCTTGGGACCAGAATTACAATGAATGCATTATTTGCAGGCAGAGCAGTGGCTTTTGACTTGATGGATTTCTTGACAAGTTCACAGTTTTTTGAGAGTCATCAGATGAGAAATGTAGCATTTATTAAGCATATTTAATTTACTTACAAAAAAAAAAAAAAATCACAGAAATTTTCAGGTCCTAAGAGATTTTTGTGGATCACCTGAGTCAATCTCCTTCTCATCCTAGAGCTAACTTCAGAGCTAGGCTCTGGTTGAGCAATACTCAACTGACTTTTCATAGAATCACAGAATCATTAAGGCTGGAAAAGATAATGTAGTCCAAGTGCCAACCCACCCCACCATGCCCACTGCCCACATCCCTCAGTGCCACATCTCCATGGCTCTTGAACACATCCAGGGACAGTGACTCCACGTCCTCCCTGGGCAGCTGTGCCAGTGACAGACCACTTCTTCCAAGAAGAAACCTTTCCTAATATCCAATCTGAACCTCCCACGATGCAACTTAGTTTTTAACAATATCATTTTTGAAAGTCTGCCTTGGTAACAGTTGATTGTGTGACCAGTAATAGTTTTGGAAGAAAAAAAAAAACCCAACAAAAATCAACTCTCTAAATAGAGTAGTGGGATTGAGAGTAAGCATAAATTGTTCAGCATAAATTACAAACTAAATAAAGCACTGTGGGCTCAAATTCAGATCTGCAGTAACTAAGAAAGAAGGGGGGGAAAAAAGGAAAATCAAATAAAAATGTACCATTTCAGCTTGCACCAGTGTTACGCCAGCTTGTGGATGTATAAAGGATACTGATAATGAGCCCTCCTGATATGTGTTTAAGATTTTTAAAATAGGTGACTCACACCTAAGGCAAGTGAATTGACTGCTGCAGTGCTCATGTTTTCCTTTGTTAAATTCAATCAGCTGTTCATCTGAACAGTTGGAAAGGATACATTTATACGGAAATAACTCTCTTGCTAAACATTTTCCTGTATCAAATACATATTCTGATAAAAATCTGCTGAATATTGGCTTACGCTGACCTCATCCAAAATGAGAAAAAAGACTGAGGTCCCAGAGGAGCCCAGAGCACAAGCTCTCAGTTTACTGTCATACAGCATGTATCAACTGTGTGGAAATTTATAATGCCCTTATATGTGTATTTTGCAGATCTGCCATTCTAATCTGTAGTTCAATTTAGATAAACAGTTATAAACAGTTGTTTTTTGTTTTTTTTTTTTAATGAAGCATTTAATGGTATTACAGCATTTTCAGGAAAAAAAAAAAGCACTTTTGAAAAAGGTGTCTTAAATTTGGAAACTCCTACAATCTTCCTGAATGAGACCATCACTTCCTAACTTCATGCACTGGGCAATCATGATCAACAGCACGTGTGTCATGGAAACTGCTCTTCTCCGATATCTTATCCTTCATTAAGGCCCTTAAACCTGTAAGGGCCCTCTAAGTATATATTCCTCTACGCACTTCAGCAGATGGAAATGACTTTTCCTTACAACTAGCATCACAGCTATCTTACAAAGATACAGTAAAACATAGTTTATCAAAAGCTGACAAGGAATTCTTGACTAATCCATTTGATAATAATTGACTTTCCATTCACAAAGAAAGATTATGCAAAAGCATGGATTTCCTATGCAGAAAGTTCACATTATTACCTTTGATTTCAGAAGTTGCCATGAATTTACTTGCAAAAGAGCATTAGGCATTCTGCAGTTCAACAGTGATCGCTAATAAGTTTGGATGGCAGCTGTTGTACATCTGAAGCTAACAAATGTTATGTGGCCAGAGATGACTGGCACGACATGTGTCTGTAGCCTTTTTATACAGTTATGTACTCAACTATTTTAAAAATGTTCACAAAAGTCCTTCAGAAATACCGTTCTCAACAAGTTGATGGAAAAACAAGCCTTTAATATTTACCCCGCTCAGTTAGTTGCATATGCTCACACATTATCGCACAGTGACACAAAAGTAATGACAAGTTATTTTTCTGGAAGTCATGCCCTCCTTAGCACTCTGACTAGAAGCTGGATTCACTTTCTTGAAAGTACAAGGCATATATTAAATTTCCAGCAATCAATTATCATTTCAGCCTTTGTATCTGTGATCATAAATCCCAGCACATGCCCACATGGACAAAGGGCAAAGACAGAACAGTCTTCCAGGCAAATTCCAAAAGCAAGTGTAAAGTAATGAAATGTCACTCTCTTTTCTGTTTTTAACCTCAAGCAGTAGAAGCTTTTTTAAATTTTCCTCAATTTAATATTTTCATAGACATCCTGAAAGCCTTATGTTCATAATCTTTATGCTGATAGAAAATGTCACTATCACCAAAGTGATGCAAATATCCATCTCAGGAACCTACAAAAAAATATAATCACTCTAAGGACTGAGAGGGTTCTGACAGAAAAATTTCAGAAAACACAAATGATTTTACTGACCTCATACAGAAGAAGAAGACATCCCTCAGGATGACTCTGATTGTTCCAGCTACTTTTGCCATAAGTGCTTTGCTACATTTTTACATGAATCAATTCAGAAAGGCTTTTTCCAGGGAAAAGTTGCTACTTTTGCTTTTTATTTTTCTATTTTCCAATACTTGAATTTTCAGTGACTAGATCATACCTTTGTACCATGTAAAAAGTCAAATATTTTATTATTAAATAAGTCTGAGACTGAGTCTCTCTCATACATACTCTATTTGCTATTATTTTGCACAAACTGATATTTAAAGTCAGGAGTTAATTTCTTTTTTTTCTTAATAGGAGAAATAAAATTGGAAAGACAGAAGAAAGCCAAAGGCCATCCATTCCAAGTTAAAGGAAAAGAAAGACAGAGAGCTGTTGGAGAGGGTCCAGAGAAGCGCCACAAAGATGATCAGGGGACTGGAGCGCCTCCCCTATGAAGACAGGCTGAGGGAGCTGGGCTTGTTCAGCCTGGAGGAAAGAAGGAGAAAAGAAGGCTTCCTTCTTGAGGTCACCTCAAGAAGGTGACCTCATTGCAGCATTTCAGTACCTAAAGGAGCCTATAAACAGGAGGGGAGTCAACTCTTTGAAAGGGTTGATAACTGCAGGACGAGGGGAAAAGGTTTTAAGCTGACGGAAGGAAGATTTAGGTTGGATGTCAGGGGGAAGTTCTTTACAGAGAGAGTGGTGAGGTGCTGGAACAGCTGCCCAGAGAGGCTGTGGATGCCCCGTCCCTAAAAGTGCTCAAGGCCAGGTTGGATGGGGCCCAGGGCAGCCTGGTCTAGCATTAAATGGGGAGGTTGGTGGCCCTGCATGTGGCAGGGGGTTGGAGATTCATGATCCTTGAGGTCCCTTCCTACCCTGGTCATGCTGTGATTCTGTGAAAAACGGAATATTCAGAACATTAAGGTTTGACCATTGAAAGAATACAGTGTGAAATACAACTTGAACACAAAAGGAAGTAATGTTATTCCATCTGTTACCTGTCATGTGTCCTCATAAAGTCCCAAAATTTCCTAGCGCCATTCTGGGGAAAAAAAGTAATAAATGTGTCAGTAAAATTAATTCCAAGTGAGAACTGATTATAATGAAATTGAGCAAAAAATTTAACAGGCGTGTTTTTAAAAATTTGGTAGAGCTGATTTTATTGATGAGATTATTCTGGATTCTGACAGTACGTATTACAGACGCTGGGAACTATCTCAGGCCATTCCAAACCTTAAATACACAACACTACGCTGACTGCTAATGTACAACATAGTCTTTGGGTCCAACTCCGGCCGCAGTGTCTACTCAAACCCCCAATTTAATCACCATGTACCAGGAAGGTATATGCAGCTAAGTTTTAACCAGTAAAATAGCCCACAGATCTACATTTTCCCATGGTACCTGTGCAGAATAGTTGACAGCACCAGCTGAACTGATTTAGGATCCAGGCTCAGAAGGCTGAAGCCCACACCTAATTGACGTTTCATGTTTTGCTTTCTGCTTTCCAGCATTAGGACACATACTGACAAAACCAAACCAAACCACTGAACATGTTTGCAGAGTTATTTCTCTGACTTTATATCCTACAAAAGGTGATTCTCGGGTAGCCTCCATGCCACTGCTCACCACTTGTAAGTCATCTTGTCCTCTGCTCTCTTAAAATGAGTGACACCTACCACAGCATAGCTGAAAGCAACTCCTGAAAGCACTTTTCCACAGTGACCATGTAAACACTTACTTGCATACATATCTATGTTCTGTAATAACTTACATTAGTCCATACATACTAGTTAAAAGAGACATGTACATACTTTGGTACCTATTTTAAGGTCTAATATTCTATTAGACACATGGCAGTATTTTTCAGCTGTACAAATCAAAGGACTTGCCTCCTAAGTCAGGTTTAAGTCTGTGTCACAGAATAGGACTCAAGGAAATTCAGTCAGTTGATACCCTTTTTGTATTAGCAAACAAAAACCAGACCAGCTGAAGACATACAAACCTTAAATATGCTTCATGTGAAGAGCAGCACAAGCTCTCTGTTATAACGTATACTTTAGCAGATGATCAAACCCTAAGCAACTGGTTAATGATTTAAAGCAGGTAAATGCAAGCAATGAAAGAAGAAACAAGTTCAGTTGGTTGGTAAAGGTGCCAACCAATATAGAAAGGCTCTTCAGCTCTATTACAGATGTCATGACTACCAAGTACACAACAGCTGGTGGGGATTAGATAACAAGCACCCTGGTTCAGAGATTAAGCTCCTGAGCTTTATGAGTTTACCAAGCTTTTTGGAAGAGTGACGGTTTGCTTGCTAGCTGGGTTTTCCTTCATTCCCACAGCTCTAATTATAAACAGTTGTCCACCTCAAGAGAAACTTTAGTCTACTCTTCCATCAATGCCTGTGCATAACTTCTGCAGCACTGACAGGAATCAAATGTATGCATCAGAAAAGAAGCCACCTCAATGCTTAAATGCAACAATGTTGAAAGAGAAATAAGGACAGCAAATTCTCAGGGTGAACTGAAATACTAAAACCCTTGGCCATCAAGCTGAGTATATCCAATCTGTTCCACCTGGTGACAGACAGAAGAACAACTTTGAAAAGACTGTGACACAACAGATATTTGCAACTTAAAAGCACAGGCCAGTGCTGTGTGGTAAGATAATTTAAGGCATTACATCCATAAGTTCTGCTCAATCCTCTCAGAGATTTATTTCTACGCCTAAGACGAATGAATGTGTGATATTTTTTCTTGCTTGCAGACTGCAGTGCAATTTGCTGTTTGACATGAGTGACTTGAGGAACTGTGAACTAGAGGTAACACCTTCTATATGTACCTTCATATCAGTTCACCAGCTCCAACCTCCTCCTGCCACCACAGGTAAGATACCTGCCTATCCATTCCCCTGTTGTAATTTCTCCTTCCCTTGACAAAAATATGGGTGTCCAACTGATGGAGATGACAGACACACCTACATCAAGGCTATCCTAGATTAACTTATGCTCTTAGTCCTGTGATATTACTTCCTACGGTATGATCCCAACAACAATCCTCCTGGCTTTTTCCTCTTCCCATCATTTCTTACAGAATTTGATTGCTTTGGACTACTTAAGGAAGGGTTTCATACAGAAGAAAATTAAACCCTGGAGAACGAGCCTTAACCAGACGGGATCCATGAGATCTGAACACCCTCTTCTCACAGGTGAGCCCCATTAACATTAGCAGAATCTACCTCATAGATGTGCATGCAATTTTTAACAAAAAAGGTAAAAGAAACTTAGTATGTAAAAAAAGAAATGAATCAGGATCATACAAGATAAATCTTTTTCTTCTAGTTTGTAAGTGGTTGGACAGCACATTAAGAACTTTCACTGGAACATAATTCAGTTAGTTTAAGACTCAAATTCAAAACAAGTCACAAATTAATTTCAATCTGTCCACTCAAGAAGCTGGTTATGATGGTACACTCTGACTGGACAATGTTATTAAGCTCTTGTCTGCCTATATTTGAATAAAAAAAATATTTTATATGATCAACCTGCACCTGTCCAAATAAAGAAATCAATAAACAAATGAAACATTCCAACATCTCATTGTTTACAATGGCAGAAACTCAAATGAGCACCAGCCATGCCCTATTGTCCAAGCCAAATGTAATTTGAACCCAACTGTATGGAGTTGAGTTCCTATTGTACCCAATGTGTGGTTCATTCCTAACAGACTAGTATGAAGGTTGCTAATTATTAATAGCATGTAAACAGTTACCAATGATTCTTATGCTGCTTTACATACTTTACAGAACATTAATTCCAACCAGTTTCTGACCACCTATGTGAAGCTGTATGAAATATCTCTATCTTAGCTGTAAGACAAAAATTTTATTTGCAGAATTGATCAAAATTCATGCTTTCAAAAACTGGGTAGCCATGACGATTTGTTACATTAAACTGCCCTATTCTGTATATCCTGTCTTCTGCCTTTGACAGCACTTCTCTTATCATCCCAATTACAGATCCCAACTGCAAAGAATTAAAAGATGCAAGTGATCAACATACTCTCAGGAAGCAGCAGTGTCTTTGTGAAATGGAAAGGCTCTCTCAAACACTTAATGTTGTTCATTTTAATACAGATACATTTGTTTTACTGTAAATAGTCCATTCTCCAATGTCTGCTAAGGAACAATCAAAGTATCTCAATGAAGTGTGAGAAGTAAACATAATACATCCTTGTGAGGTCTTAACACTGACACTTAGTACTCCACATTTAAAACAGATTCTGTTGTTATCCTTCAAAAGGGAAATGCATCCTTTCACATATTATAAAGATATGTCAGCAGTAGTTTGTATTAGTTTTTATTTGTTTGGAATAGCAGTTTTGATACTCTCAGCAGCACTGTGTAAGACATAGTTGGTTTGGTAAATCTTTAATCATAATGTAATCACTCTCTAGTTCTGTGCTCAGTGATCGGGTTCTGGGATGCTGCAGTGCTGATCTACTGCATATAGTATGTGTAAATTAATGAAGCCGTATTCCAGGAGAAGTAGCATATGAGACAACTTTATTCCAGGTTACTCAGAAACCACATTACTTACATAAGAACAAATTGCATAGGAAAGCCACATCAGGCCAGACGAGATGTCCAACTTGCCTGATACATCGCCTCTGACAGTGAAGGGAAAGTTTAGGGATAGAGAAAGCATACTGCAGCGCTTCCCCAGGACACTCTTTCTGACCTCTGACAAAAGGTAGTTGAAAGATGTCAGAAGACTATCCCACCACAAGGCATCCAAATTAAACACAGTCCTCTCCTCTTCCAACCCAGAAAAGCAAGCAGGAATAGCAATTTCTATTCTACTTGCATGCACAGTAGTTTGTCACAGGTTTGAATTGACAATGCCATTGACAACTTAGAATCCCAACACTATACTACAGGCTTCCCAGTCAACATAAGAAGAACTTGATCCCTTTTGGCTCAAGTGATTGCAGGACAACCATGCACTGGAAAGTACTCTCTACTTGGTTAAGTGTTGACAGCAGATTTAAGTTCAGCAGATGTCACCCTACCAGCAGAGATCTGTATGTGATGCCACCCGTACCTGATCTGCACATTCTCCAGGAAATGAAGACCCTTCTTGCACCTGCTCTTTGCCATACTTACCGACAGGAGTCTGTTCACACTATCTATGACAGACAAGTTAGACTTGTCTACAGCCTCTGATCAGAATACCATTCTTTTAGCCACCTACACAATCTAGCTAAAGTACCTGGACACACACTGCACCAGGGTCCTCTGCCTTTCTCCACTACTTTATGCCATATAATGTCTGAATGATGCAGTCACATCGTCAGTCTAGCAAACACAGAGGATCACTTTTGCTTACTAAAGGAATCCACTGAAGACTTAGCCCAGCCTAGCCAAGAAGAAGTGGAATAAAGACATGAAACATTCACTGCCTTTGATCTTGCAGGCGGTGCTCCTCACATGAGATGGAGTTTTCCCAAGGATCACTGCACTCCCATCAAAGAATGGGATCTCCTGACAAAGCAGAAGTCTTCAAAATTACAAATGATATGAAGATGGTGGGTACGAAACAACTGTTCACTGGCTCCCAGAATTGAGAAGCACTTTGTCATAGAAGCACTTTGTCTTCCTGAAGGGCCAAGGCCTACCTGGCTGCTGAACTGGCCCCGCTCAAGGAAGCAGCGTAAGGCCAGCAGGCTGCCTTCCTTTTCTTTGTACAAAACGATTAACTGATTGTTTCTGAAACACCCAGATGCAAAGTGCATTACACACAGGTTTTAAAATATTCTCATTTAAGGTTTAAACTTCCTGGCCTCATTTTTATGGAAGTTCTATTCCTAAGAGTAAACTAAAAACATGCCACTGTAACAGACAGGAGAACATTCCAAAAATCTCTTTAAATGCTTTCTTTGACAGCAGGAAACAATTGCTACAGGATGGTTAGGACGAGGGTGTCTAAAACAACTCCTCACCGTGCAGGTTTACAGTAACACATTTCCCACAGTGCCACTG